TATATATATATATATATATATATATATATATATATTGCATTTTTCTAAAGATTTTCGCAATATTTTATTAGTTTTTTTTTTCTTCCTTATCGAACTCTCAGCGATATATTACAGTAATACTTGGTGGTTATTTTCAAAAATATATTTATTCATATTTAGACTGATGATTGCAAACTAAACTGGTAAATTTATTCGATGTTTTCGTTTGCACGTTTATATGTTTTAGCGCAAATCTGCCATGTGGATCAAATCCAACGTTTTAGTATTATACGTCCTTAATCTACCACTGAAGTCGGGGGGAGGGTCTTATTGGATATCAAAAATGACAGGATGATTATTTTTAGTTTGCATAATGACCTATTTACAATAAAGAAAAACATTCTCTAAATTAATATCAATGTGTTTTGTTTTTTGGAATTGTTAACAATTTTATTCTTTGTATTGAGCCCCCCAATGACACAGCGGTATGTCTTTGGACTTGTACTGATAAAAACCAGAAAGCCCTCTGTGTAGCTTTTTGCTTAATAACAAACAACAACAATCTTTTTTTTATGAAAAGTACTTTCCCGCCCTTCGGTAGCTCAGCGGTAAGTCTGAAGGTTTATAACGCTAAAGAACGAGTTTCTATACCAGTGGTGGGCAGGGTACGAATAGCCCATTATGTAAATTTACGCTTAACAACAAACAAACAAAACTTATGAAAAGGGAGGAGCTGATCTTGATATTCTAACGCCCATCATATTTTTATCTCGCTCTTCTCATCACACATACTACTGAAAAGGTTTTAGTGCTATTGGCATAGAAACAAATGCACACTTCGTTTTTAAGTTTTATGTACACGTTTGTCTCTTAGACTTTACTTATGCAAAACCACTTCTTTTGTGGCAGAAATCGAAATTATTTTGCGAAAAAACGCATGTCTTTATCGTCAGTTTTAATGTTCATCTATATGCTAAGCACGCTAGATTTTCCTAATATGTATATTAATAACATACTGACTGACGTTTTGTGGTCACGCCCATAAATATATCAATGTAGCATTTTCACATGCACGAGAAATGAAGGACATAGTAGAAAAAACTATCAGGATAAAGGAAATACCAGCAAGAATTGATTGTGTGAAGTGTGAGGTGGCGCCACCTAAATTCTTTATCCGAAAACAGTACCTGCATGTTAATAGCCTAAATGCTAGTTGAGCGTGTTATGTCGAAGAAAATGATACCATATAATAATCATTTAAAGTGAGCTTTTATGTTCATTTTTCAATTCTTTGTCGTAAAGAGAAACGAAATGTTACTTTTGGTTGACTAAATAAAATGAAAAACGAGTTGTTTTCTTTAAATTGAAAAGATAATTTATTGTCACCTGGAGAAAGGAATTTCTTTTATTGTTGGCTAAGATAAATGAAAACATATTGCATACTTTAAAATGAAAAGTCCGTATATTTTCATATTTATACCACTGGAAAATAAAAAATATTCACAGTACTGCACTCGCCTGAAACTTGTTTTGTTGTCATACTTCTAAGAAAGGGTTCTTAATTCACAAAGTTAATAAAAGTTTAATTTATTACTCTAGTTTTACACTTTTAACATTGTTCTTTATGCTAATCCTCCTATTAAGTCACAGAAACAGTCTTCAATATCAGATGGTGCGTTTTTTTATCCACAGTTTCTATTGAAATGATGGCTATATTAGGTACAACCACATTCCTCAACTCTCATGTTCGGTAAAGTCGACTGAAAGATGTTCATATCTTTATCTACATAGATGATGGAGAGGGATGCCAACTTAGTGGGAGCACAGCATGGTGTGATGGACGCAAAGGGATTTCTCCGACGATGTTCATCCATCACTTGGCTGTAATACCAATAGTCTGGATAAGTATCTGGGGTTCGCGGGGACCGTCCACATCGGCCCATACAGTAGTTGGCCTGGTAACCTTTAGGAGCAATTATCCAGTCTTCCCATCCAAGTTTCCTGAAGCTGATGAAAAGCGACTGCACGCAACAGTTCGTCGTATGAGCTTTACAGGTCTTGGTGAATCTCAGAGATCGTCGCTGAGGCACTGTTTCTGTCCCTATAGATAAAAACGGTCGGACTCCCGCTTCTGATGACTGGTTAGTTCCTCCCACTCCAGCAACTCCGCTAAACAACACTGGTTCTATCGAAGAGTTGCATCCATTGCAGTCAACTAGGAGGGTGAGTTTTGTAGTCTCGGAGGCCTTGAACCATTCTTGGACTACCTGATAAAGGTCTAGTCGCTGCCACCCTACAGGAGATGACTCTATCCGTTTCAGGGCCAATAAGGAATAGTTGAGAGCATTCATAGTACCGTTAGGAGGCTCATCTACCCTAAACACATAAAGAGTGAGGCTACTGTTAACCAGTCCCGCTTGTTCGAGCTGGGCCAGAGATGGGTTAGCACGGAGTTGAACCCACAAAAATGCTGCCGTTACACGTATACGCTGTGGAGAACGGTGAACAGGTTGGAAAAAGTCCAAGAGAACGTAGTCATTTATCCTTCCTCCTAGAAATAAAATATGATGAATAAGTCAAGGAATAATTAGCAAATGCCTTGTTTATCAACAACCTGGAATTAAAGGTTTAGGTATAGGTAATTTTTTAATATGCATTTTTAAGTGTGTTCCTCTATATGTTGTTTCGCATGCTAAAATATGCTACTGTCTTCATAGAGTGAAGCCTAACAGTACTTGGAGTATCATGTTGAAGTGTAATATTCAATAAATTCATGTTAGAATTTGTTATCTTATTGTCTTTAATATATTACCATTGACATATCTAATGATGCCATTGTAAAAAACGTTATATAATTTTGCCACCTATCTTTTCTTTCGACACTAATTTATTTCAGTCTGTCGTATTTAAAAAATTAATAGAATTTTATTCACAAATTATAATGCATGTGCCATAAAATAACCAAGAAATAAATAGGAACGTACGCAAAAATTGACTTTTGCATCCCCAGAAGCAAATCGTCCAAACATAAATATATGTACGTAAAACAATACTCAGTGCCCTCCGGAAGACGCTACAATGTGTTACATATTTTAAACTATGGTTTTTGCAGCTCTGAAAATTCCTTAAAATATTCCCTGTGTAAAACCTGTCATACAGAAGAGTAAGAACCAGTTATAGAGAAAGAACAACCTTTGAAGCAATTCGCTATAGCCAAATCTTGACACACAAATTATGCTTGACATTGTTTGACAGAAATGATTAAACGAAACGACAATAACTGTTTTATTTTAGAATTTTTGCCCGAAGCAACACAATGATTATATGCGCATAATCGCCCTTAAGTTTGAACTGGTAGACTAAGGAGCAAGCAGCTAGTTAACAGTGCCCACCACCAACAATATTCTATAAATTTTAAAATTGGAGTTTTTGTCGAAAATTTGAAACTGTTTCTTAGTTAATTATTATTGATTAAAAATTTGACGTAGTAAAATAAATTCTCGTTTTCTGCATTCTTCTTTTAAGTTTTGGCATTAGTTTTCAGTTTGAAAGGCAACTTATGCGCCCGTGGGCTAAATGGTCGGTGACCCTAGGATTCAGGTATTGCCGTACTTTATTTTGAACTACTAACGAAAGGAAATGCAGCCCAAATCATCCGAAGTCACAAGGTTATTTGAACCTAATAAATGGGATTGACTGCCACTCTTATAATGCACCAAAAGTGGTTTGTTTGTTTGTGGAATTTCTCGCAAAGCTACTCGAGGACTATCTGCGCTAGCTGTTCCTAATTTTGAGGTATATACTAGAGGAATGGCAACACAACCCAATGCCAATTCTTGGGCTACACGCACATTTGAACGTATAGAGCATGTTCAGTGGCATCGTGAGTCAACCCCCAGGCTCGGCGATTTACGGCCCGACACGCTTATCACTAGGCCACTTGCAACCAAAATGTTTGTAAGATCATACATACTCTGTTATATTCAGTAGATGTTCGTGAAACTTTTATTAAAATTTTATCTAATGATACTAAAATCTACATCATATTATAGCATCCATTATTATGCATAGAATGTGAAGTTTATGGTTCTACAGCTCTCCGGAATTTACACGTAAAAATATAACAGCACAAAATTCAATTTCCAACTGCGCATTGATCGTTTAGAACTACATAAAATTGTCTGAGCTGCGTTAAAATAGCTAGCCCCTGGTTTCAAAAAAAGGTGAAAATATTTTTAAAATGTTACTTTTCTTTGAACATTTTATTGTTACAAGGTTCATAACTGGATTAACATTTTGTGGTTGTATAGCTAGTACGACTGTTAATTCTAACTTTTTCAATAATATAACATTAATAAATGAGGTCACATCAGTTGCCATGTTGTTGTATAGAAAGACGTAATATTTTATTCAACTGTAGATGAGTAAACGAAACAAGTTAAGATAGCTTTACACTGGCATTTACTGTGTAATTTGTGGAAAAGCATGATTTTGATTATTATTTTTACAAAACTTGAATTTTTAAACTGCAATAGCCTAAATGAAAGGGAAAATAACTAAACAATGGGACATTTTTTCGAGTTAAGCATTTGTTGTTTTGTAAACGGCGAACACTAACGTAAAGAACCCATTCTTTAAGGAAAAATTACTTGAATTACAGAAAAACATATTTTCGACTTAATCCTTCTTTCTGGGTAAATGCTTTACCCAAAAGTAGGCTTAAGAAGGGCAGGATTATCTAACAGGCTCAATAAGCATTTTCCAATGGGCCCACAGTGTCAAATAGCTCATGTGGTTATGCTTTTTTTTTTTTTGTAATGGGCTCCTCAGTATTTATTAAGTAGGAAAATTTAGTTTTATCAAAGCATTATATCCAGTAAAATATATTTGATTACCTACCTTCCCTCTAGCCTATCACTTCAAAATCATGGACAGCTAGCTGGCAGAGATGGCTCTCGAGTAGCTTTGCGCGAAATTCAACGCCAGCAAAAATTTCTGCATCTTTATTATACAGGAGATATTCTTACATTCCGAGTCAGTTTACTAATACGTGATTAAAATCTATAATTTGTTGAATGATGAAGAGGAAAGTTTATCTAATCATTACGTTCGTATTTAAAACAAATATCGTTTTCATAACCCATAGCACTTAGTCCTAGCATTAAGTTATATATTAGCATGCTGTGCATTTCTGTTTCATTATTTCAGTTTAAAAAACATTATATCGGTGAATTACCATAACGTGAGAGCTTGGTCAAGATAAACCAGACATACGAGTTGTGATCCTTACACACACATATATATATATACACATACATAAATTACATAACACATAATTTAGAATAATCCGATTGGGTAGGTATGGCGCATTCATTCTGTAATATGTTTGTTTCTTATGCATTAATAAATTCTATTATTTCCAACATTTTCCTATAAATTAGAATATCTATCGATCAACTTACCTGGCTCTGAGAATACTACGATTTCAGAAACTCTGCCATAATAATTGTCTTTCTCTTCAGACATGTCCTCTGCGTCATCCGGTACTGCCTGGTCTTGCAACGAGTCTTCAGTTATCTCGTGATTATAGGCATGTTGAAGTACTTGAAGCATAACGTTCCGGGGCAATGGGTTAGTCATGTTTGGTCTTTCTTGAAGCTGCAATTTGGACAAAATTTGATTTTTGACTGCTTCCATTTTAAGTCTCCTGGCTGCTTCGTGGTCAGTCACGCTCACACACTGTCGGCAGCTATTCAGGTGTAAACTATCTGAGGAGTCAAGGTTGTTGTTACTTTCCGATGAAGAGGAAGAAGTGACACTAGCCAGCGACCTAGAATCGAACCAGGCCCATGCGAGAAACAACAGTCCCACGAGCTTCATGACGCTGGATCTCGAACAATAATTTCACGTCGCTTTTTAAATTGTGATACCGATTAGAAATTGTTGGTTAAATTCCAATAATTGTTCATTCTGATTTAGACTGAAACCGTCCTGCGACAAACAGGTAGCCATATTTTATCCCCACGTGTACACGTTTCTAGCTCGACCGCACACACCTCTTTCCTCATGCTAAGATGAATACATAATGAATATTCCTAACTCGACCTGCTTCTCAGTGGTGCAGTTTTTTTATTAGCTACACCGTGCTTTGAGGACAGCCGTCGCCGCGGCGCCGGGCTACTTCCCTCAAGGGGTGATGCTACCTTTAAATCGTCCGTCAGCTGGCAGTTTGATCGACGAGAACTTTCTAATACTTTTTTTCTACTAACTTGTTCATCTGTAATTATTGGAATAATCTTGACGTCTCCATAATACAGCAGGTAAATCTACAGCGTCGCACGACAAAATATATGTCATATTACAAAATAATTAAGGCTCCAATTAATAACCATTTTAGATAAAAATCTTACAAGATATTTATAACCGCGATTGCATGTATGTAAGGTAATACTAAAACCATAGCATAGTTATAAGTTTAAAAATTTGATTTCAATATATTGAAACGTGACTGTTTTGGAGGAAAATTATAAAAAGATTTGTTTATTTGTTTGAACTTAAGCTCAAAGCTACACGATGGGCTATCTGTGCTCCGCCCACCACGGGTATTGAAACCCGGTTTCTAGTATTGTAAGTCCACAGACATACTGCTGTGCCACAAGGGGGCTTATAAAAGGAAAAATGAAGTTATGTGTATTATGTTCTCACAAGCTTCGATGAACCAGTATGGATTATGTTGTTTTGGTTAATGACAATGCTACACACTGGGCTATCTGCTTTCTGCCAACCACGGGTATCTAAACCTGAATTTTAGCTTCGTACGCCACCAATAAAGAGGTTAACTAAGATATGTAATTTTGGGGAAAGTTTTATTTATTTAAATGATAAACCTTCAAGCACTTGAAAACAACTTTTTCAATTAGTTGCAAATGCATTGGTTGCTAATGCATAATTGTCATGACTGGTTTCCTTAAAAGGAATATTTCTAGGGATAAGTTTGTCGTTTTTTGTTGTTGTTTTTTTATTTGATGTTAGTCATAATTATAACTTCCACTTCGTTAGGTCGGTCCTAGGTTTAATGTACCTCATAGTTTTCAAAAATTTACTATAATAACGCTCTTTATTGGATCAAAAATATTTGGAAAAAAATCTACCAGTCTTGCATAATCACAACTAATACCTTTAAATAGTGACGTTAATATTTCTGAAGTTATTAACGTTGTAATTTTTTTTTACAATGACAGACAAAACCTGAGACCTCCCAATTGCTCAGTGTAAGTCTGAGGATTTATAATTCTAAAATTCGGGTTTCGATATCCGCGATGGGCAGAGCAGAGATGGTCCATCGTTAGCTTTGCGCTTAATAACAAACAAAATAAGCCTGATATAACACATTAGCTCTTGTGTTTAAACATCGTACACACAGGGATCAGACGAATGATTTCATAAGCCTAATAAAATATTTTTACTACCTAGTTGATATGAAATGCTAATCCAAAAGAAGAGAAAGAAGAACTAGTTTGAGTTTGGTGAATATCCTGTTAAGGAATTTGCTGATTATAATGCAGATAAGTGATCCAGATTTAGAAATTTCACGAATTAATTGGCAAATTTAAATACTTACAAATTTATTTAATGTATTTTTTTTGGAAACCCTAATGTTACACCTACGTGATAAACCATTTTCATCGTTTTATATTTGCATTCAAAAGTTAAATATGAAATAAGTGCGCGGCACAGTTTTATTTCCATATTGTTTACCTTTATTATCACATTGGAAGTTTAACCAATTTTGATGAACATATTCCTGCTTAAAAGAGCAACAATGTAGCTCTCTGTGTAGATAAAACATCATTGGTAAACCAACAGCCAGATAAAACTGGTTCATAAATCATCTCCTCTTTCCCTTTATTGCTTCTCATGAAATGTTCGTGCCTTGATCCCAGTTGTGAATTTTAATGAAACCTAAAGGCTTTGTTTGTTTTAGAGCAAAGCCACATTGGGCTATCTGCTGTGACCACCGCGGGGAATCGAATTCCGGATTTTAGTGATATAAGTTCGTAAACTTACCGCTGACTGTTTTACGTGTATTTTGAAGTCTGAGAATCATTTGGAATTCAAAGTAATGTTGGTGTCCTTCCGCTATTTAACAGTATCTTCATTATCGTAAACGCAACCATTGGCCCATTGTAGCGAAAATAAGCAAGGAAGCAGGTGTTACTAAATTCATTATGTATTCACAGGGACACTAAAGGCACATGAAAGTGCTGTATTTGGATACGAATTTTGAAAATATTTCCAGTTTTATAGTGAATATATTGATGTGATTTAGATATTTGAACATGTTTTAATTCGGGTGATAACAACGCCTTAACACTATACACTTTACACATGAATCTTGAAACTAAAAATATTTTAAAACAATTCAAAGGCACAGAAAAACATATATATTGCTTTCAAGTATTGGAACTGTTGATGTCTTGTATTCGGTGAATCTACTTAATAATCTTAGTTCTGTACGTGTGTCTTGATTACGGGTAAAGTAAGACCACAAAACTATAATTGTAAACAGAATTGTTTTGAAATATATTACCTTTTTTTGACATCCTTGACAGAGGAACATTTGACAGACAGAAAATTGTTTTTAGTGATTTAAAACGCTTGTTCAACTTGGTGCAAAATATCGAACTGTTTTACGTGTATTTTGAAGTCTGAGAATCATTTGGAATTCAAAGTAATATTGGAGTCTTTCCGCTATTTAACAGTATCTTCATTATCGTAAACGCAACCATTGGCCTATTGTAGCGAAAATAAGCAAGGAAGAGGGTGTTACTAAATTCATTATGTATTCACAGGGACACTTAATTGCGAATGAAAAAGTTTTCATGTTCTTAAATTGTGTTCAACTTATGAACTCAAAAACGCAAAATTTGTTAAATATATATGGCCTGCTGTTGTACGCAAAGTTTAACACTTGGCTGCAGTTGGTTTTATCCATCATAGTTTTAAAATTAGAAATGTGTGAATTAGCACTTCAATGACATCATTTTCCTGCCTATTGTGCATCTTACGTTATAAGATCCAAAAGCTTACCACTAACTTACCGGGAAGACATAAAGTGCCTTGCAAAAGTCTTCCCCCCTGTTCTGATAATCAATTTTAGTTATTTTCTTGTTAAAGACATAACTCAAATGGCCAAAAATATTTATTATATTAATTTCAGACCAGTTTCTAAAGATTAAAAAGAATAAAAGGTGCATTGTTCCTCACTTTAGAGATATAACAAAAAAATCTTGAAAACATATGTTGCAAAAGTCTTCACCCCTAACATGATTATGCAGTTAATATTTGTTTGAAGCTCCTTTGGCAGCAATGACAGCTGAAAGTCATTTTTGGATAACCCTCCACATGCTCTGCACAGTATGCTGGAGATACTCTGCTCCTCGCCCTGGACAACATTCAGGTGACATCACTGCCATTAGCTTGGCTTCTACGCATTTTTCTGGAAACCAATGTGGTTGCCTTGCAATGCTAGAGTGTGTGGGTGCCTGGTTGTCCTTCAATATGTCCCTAATTCAATGCAGTGGAGATTTCTTAGTAGATTGATTCATCTGGTATGTTGTCACTATGGTTGTTCTCTCTAACAACCAGACCAAAGTTATTATTTCATACTGGGTTGTGATTAAAACTACCTAAGGATATCTCTCACATTCAGGTAGTGCTTCATGGCTTTGCCAAAGAGTTCCTCGATAAATTTGTCTAGAACGATTTCCTCTCAATCCTCTGTCCATTGCAGGGTTGAGTTTGCTGTGCTACTAATCCAGACTCTCAGTTCCAGTTCTTTCCAAGACTTGAACCTGGCCAGATGGATCACCTGATTCACGATAGGGTTGAATTGGCAGAACAACTTAGATACCACAGTCTCATAGTCCTCCTATTGCTCCTCATATAGATACTCATTAACATGCATGGCTGGACCATCTAGGCTCAGAATCAGGTGTTGGACTGGTTGCTTCTAAGTCCAGCCATTCCAGGCAGTTATCTGCCCGAAACCGTCCACTGAAGATCAGGAGTGGAATCTGCTTTGCCTCTCTTACAATGACCTGTGGTACTGGCCAAAGCTTCTTCCTTATGGGTTCTTGGCACATGCCACTGATGTTGCGGATTCATGACAACAGTACTAATCTGGAATGCCAACACTTTGACAAGCAATTGGTCCCTGGTTCATGGTAGCATGGTGATTAGTTACTTGTAGCAACTCTTCATATAGTTCCGTACAATCCCAGGCTTCATTGTCAGCCATGGTTGCTATTGCAGGATACCTCCTGGCTTGGAGAAGCTCATCACTCCACGGTTCATTATCCATGGATGTCTACCATTTCACGTATTTGGGAAACAGCTGTGACTGCTGAAGGTCATCTTCTAACAATAGTATCACTTCCAGTTCTTCTCAGCTATTTGTAGATAGTGTTAATAAGTATTATACTGTATTTTACTTGACTGTATTTTTATACTTGACTGTATTATACTGACTGGTGGCAGCCTGGGAGCCCTATAGATACCTCTTCAAATTGTTCCAGACTCTTAAAATGCCATTTCACTTCTTCAACTCTCAGCCATCCTCTCCTTGTTTCCCTTGCCCTGAAATTGATCTTCAATGGCATGGTTTGATCTACCAGTTTGTGGCACTAGACACTGGCTGATCATCCTAATAGATAGATGTTACAAACCTTCACATCATCAAAGAAAGTCCTATGTCCAGAAGAGAGCTTCTCATAAGCCATTATTTAACAGCATTCCTTTAAACTCGTATACTCAAGTGATCAAGCAACAGTCAATATACACGTTAGCAAAACATAAAACTTTGCAATAAATCGTGTGGTCACGACATCAAGATTCCTTCTTCTTAGCTATTTTGTGGTATTCTCAGGTTAAACTGTTTTTAGATGAGTTTTAGATAGATCTGTTTTAGAACTGGAGATTTGTGCAGTATAATTCCAGAAGAAATATGAATTTAACTAAAATGAACGTGTTTAAGCTAAAAT